TAGAGTTCACTTCTATTTTGCTCACCATGGTACTCTAATATTTTTCATTGCACTTAGTATATTAGTCACACAGTTATTTGTGATATGAATAAATGAATGAAAGATGTTGGGATATCCCAGAACATTGAAATAAATGATGAGACTTTATTATATAAGTCAATTTCTTATGTCCAGATATGTGGATAATTAAGTACAATTTACATGCAATATATGCAATCAGTTAAATAACATACAATGGTGACAACGCAGCTTAGGTCCCCTGGAAAGTGGACTCAGAGATAGAAATGTGCGTGCAAGAAGTTTATTTATTTGGAAGTGCTGTCAGGATGATGACCTGTGGGGGTGAGGAATGAAGCAGGATGGACAGAGGAAGAAGCTGAACTCTACTGCAATCCCAACAAATGTCTCAGATGATCCCTTGAGGGACCTCTAAAGTTGGGATGGCCCCTCAAAAATGTTGAATTGAGACAAGTGCCAGGACTATATAGCCCCATATCAATCAATCAGTGGATCTCCTCTACCCTGAGCTTTAGGTGAATGGCTCTCTTCAGCCAGCGGTAATTTCCAGCGAGGGACTCAGCAGAGAGATGTCTGTCAACCACCGACACTCCCAGCAGCTCTGACAGTGAGCACCTCCATCTTGAAGGGGTTGGGAAGAAGGGTGGGAATCTGTGAGGTACATCACAGCATCCACTACAGATGACCAAAAGGAACAATGAATAATTTACAGTAAGGTTCTGTCTCAATTCCAAATATGAACACACTTAAAAACTATGAAAGAGTAAAATTCCAGCCAGAAAACAAAGAGACAGCTTTAAATTGCCAGCTGCTGGAATTATGGTAACTTTCCATGGAGAGAGAGAGAGTAACAAGCCCAGGCAAAAGGCCTCAAGGCGATGAGGGAAATTCAGGGAATATTCATTCTCGAAGATATCCCCCCCCACCCCCCCACCCCGCCCCGCTTTAAATCAGATAAGTCTACAAACCTACTCACCCTGCATTTTACCCCAAATCATTCATAGTCAATCATACACCAATGGCATTTCCCCAGAATATGAGCATTAGAGAACGTCTTTAAATTTTTAACTAACATTATTTGGCATTTGCAATTTACAAAATATTATTACATGCATTTTGACATTTAACTCTCACAATAACCCCATTAAGTTAAATTACTCAAAATCACTATGTGACGATGTGTGTTTTTGAGCTAGTTAGTGGCTTAAGGTTTGTGATGACAAGGACAATGTCTGTATTATACACTGAAGTATCACTAATGTCTATGACAGTGCCTGAAACAATAGCACTCAATACACAATTGATGAATAAATTTCCAAGAGAGATTTGTAGTTTCTCTGAGTTAACTGTGCTTTTTATGGCATTATACAATATATATGGATGTATGCAGCACCCATGTGTGTGTGCATGCATGCTTATATAGGATACATGTTATATGTAGGTGAATAAATTATACCAAGTTTATTCCATAAAATATCAACTAATACATATGTTATCTACATTATAGACTTTTTGAGTATGAATACATACTAGCAATATTTGGACACAACTGATTTTTATTCATTATCCTTTGGGTCAGTTTGGACAGAGTTAATATGGCCTTAGAAAATCAGAACGGGGAAAAATAAGTCTCATGATGATTCAAAGTCTCTGATTTTTTGGGAGAAAATCACCTTCCAAGGAGTATCTGAAAAAAACTGCTTAATGCTAGACTACAGGGGGAAATAAAAGCATGTGGAAATCTGAATTTTTATTGTGTTTCTAAATTTGTGGTGCTGAATAACTTTTCATAGATAAAAGATGATTCATAAGCCTTCCTTTTAAATATGGCAATAATAATATTCGTTTGTGTAATGTAAACTATTAGGCAGAGATGCATTTTGGTAAATTTGTACACTATTAGATGAGCTGTCTTTCCAAAGCCTACAAAAAATTAATGTGGAACACCTGATATTTGACTGTGCTTCCAGATGGAGGGACAGCTTGACAAATGCCATCATAATTTACAACTTTTAAAAAGTGTGGTGTGAATGCATTTGCAGTGAGCTTTAAACAGCTTGGATTATTTACAGGTACAACTGTGTTTCATGTGGAATTTCAATAGATTTAAAATATTATTGGGTTCAATCACTGATCACAGAACATAGGTGTGGCATGTGAGCAATGTGATTAGATGCCTTAATTAAATATCTCAGAACAGGATACATCTGTTTGCTGAGGTTGGGGGGGATGGTAAAATACCATTTGGATTTTATGTTTGATTATTGAGTGTCACTGAAGAAGCTCTTACCTTTGGAAAGACAACATATTTTGGGCTTATCCTCTATGGTGGTTTAGGAGACTAGTAATCACAGAAAACAAATACAGAAATACAGTGTCTAACTCTTAAGACTAATTTGGACACTTGTACCCATCAAACAGCTAAAGTATGGATTGCTAACTGAAAAGATCTGTATTACAGTGCAACTGAAAAGAGCACATAAGTCTATATCTCTAGAGGTTAGGAAACTGAATATTGAAGTTTTCTGGTTAACTTGGAGAAGGAATCATATATATTACCATTATATATATATATACACACACATATAATTATATATGTATATGTATATATCTTTGTTCTCTCCTAAATATGTATATGTATGTGTGTGTGTATGTGTATTTGTGGTACTGAATAGATGTATATATATATTTGTGGTACTGAATATATATATATATAAATTCTCCAAGAAGATATAGATGATTTTAGAGGAGGGTAAGGTATGGTTGTAGAGAGATGCAGGAACATCTGACTTTGGAGCATTATTCCACGAAAAAGAAAGTAGTTAGTTTGACACATTTTAACTGATACATATTGTGATTTACTTCTCAAGATTAAGTGGAATATTGAGAAGAATACATGGTAAAGTGAAATTAAAGTTTCTAAAATGAACTGCTTAATGCATAAACCAACACAGGATCTACTGTGTTCATTCAATCACCAAGTATTCTTGGTCTCTTATGTTTTAGTCCTGGGCTAGGAACTGAATATCCAGTAAACAACCAAGCCAGACATGGGCCCTTTCTTCCTGGAGATTCTATTCTAAATGGAAGACAGACATTAAACAAGTCACACTCAAATAAATATACAAATAACATTTGACAGAGCCATGAAGAAAAACTAGGGTGTGATGAAAGGGAACAACAGACACAGGGTGGGTCTAATTTTGTTGGTGGTGGGGATGGGTCCAGGAGGCTTCTCTGAGAACTAAAGAACGAGTAGAAGGGAAAGAATGACCCAAATGAAGGACACGTGCAAAAGGAGAACAGCGGTTGGAGGATGGGAAGATTACTTTGTGGTTGGAACACAACCAGCCATGGCAAGGGTGGCCCTAGGTGAGATTGGAGAAGTGACGCAGGGGTCACTGTGGAGTTTGTATTTCTTACTACAATGGGAACCACTGAAGGATTTATACTCTCTCTGTGTGTGTGTGTCAGAGCCAATTAATACTTTTTAAAAGTCAATCTGGAGTGGAAAAGGGTAATATGGAATATGTAGCTTGGACATTGGTGGATTGCAGTGAAGATGGAGAAATGAAGAAAGATTCCAAGGTCTATTTAGGTTGAATCCAGAGAGCTTGGGAATGGATTAAATTTGGGAGTGAGAAAGAAGGAGTCAAGGATGATTTCAAGGTTTCTATGTAACTTTCCAGTGTCTATTAATACTACTACTTGATTCAAAAAAGAAAAAAAATAAAATGTACCCATCCCCTAGCGAATTCCAGGCCCTGGAAGGTAATCTGGTGGTTTGTTTAGAGAAGTCTTCCTCAGCCACTCAAGGTAGTGAGCGCCTACACCCCAGTTAATCTGTGCTATCCCTCTTTTATCTTCCGAGCAGGCATCACAGCTTCTTATCGTTTTGCTTACTTGCTTACTTTGAGTATAATCTCCATGAGAGTGATGTGTCTTCTTGAAGACTATATCCAGATCACCTAACACAGCATTAGGCACACTGAAAATGTTCAATAAATATTTGTTGAATGAAATGATGAATGAACTAATGAAAGAATAACGATAAAGAGGAAATACTTGACTCCAAGGTGCTCACAATCTAACCAAGAGGATTAAGTAGTGTGATAAAAGCCTTAATAGAAGTAAGCAGGAAATGTCGTGAGAAGAGAGGACTATGCATCTGTGTAACTGCAGGAGAGAGGCGGGAGGTCTGGAGTTCAGAGATACTCAAAGACGAGGCGAATATTTTCTGGATTGAGGCCATCTCTAAATGAAATCGCTCCCCTCCGCGCAGCAAACTCGGGAACTGAACATAAAGAACAATTGTTCAAAAGAGCTTCACATTTTAGAATAATTATTTTTTAAAATAGAGAGTAAAACGGACTGTCCTGCAAAAATACAATCTTGATTTTGTACAACCTACGGCACTGACTACTTGCCGCTTCTGGCTGTAGAACGTTCGCTCGCCTCTCCCCGCTGGTGCCCCCTTTCCCCGCCCCCGTCGCGAGGGCCCCTCGCGGAGACCCGTGCTCTCGCCTTCCCCACCGCAGCCCAGCGCCCTGCTCGCCTATTTGTTGGGTGGATGGAGGAACACTGATTACCTCCTCCCTGAGGAGTTCCTGAAGATGCAGTGGCCCATAAGACAATGTTTCTGCACCTCGGGGGGTCGTGCGGAAGGAAAGAAAAGGGGCAATTTGTTCCTTAGGGCGCCCACAGTTTTTACCTTTAATCCAGTGGGTCTCACATCGGGCCCCGCCTACCTAGCTCAGCCTTTTACAGTTTCTAGAGCAAAGGCCAGTCCCCCGAGCGAGCACTCCCTCCCGCCCTTCTTCCGCCAGCCGAAGGAAACCAGCCGCT